AAGCCCATGCTTTAGGGCATAGATGGGCTGACTCCCTCAGTTTCTAGTGTTTAACTGTTACCCGCCTTCATCTTTATCATGACATCATCATATTGCTGTTGTTAGCAAGTAGATACTGAACGTCTTCTGCAATAAGGCCCTGGATCAGGTGCATGTATGGAGATGGATTAAAGGGAAAATGAAATCCACTTTTTCATCACCGAACACCTTCCAGGTCCCCAGCTCCACGCCTTACTCACAGGGATACCAAGGAAGCAGAAGCCACTGCCTCCGGACTTGGACTCTTTCCTAGGACCTTGCAGAGCAGAATGACCTGTGGCTGACCAGTCTGTACAGGGGTGTTGCCCTCGTCCTGGTCCCTTGGAGAAGCAGCAGCCCCTGTGTGCAGGAGGAGGGAGCTGCTCTCTGAAGTCAGGCGAGCTGGGCCATTTGACAAATGGGAATCATTTTCTTCTGTGTGAGGGCGAGGTCGCCACTGTGGGCATCCACCTGTTTGTATGTGGCCTGATCTGCTGAGCCGCTGCTCTGGGGCTCATTCAGGGACAAGAATACCAGTAAAAATAGTTTAGTAAAGGCAGGAGCCAGAGCAGGCTTAAATGGTGGCATCTTTTCAGCTGGCAGCCAGGAGACAGAGCTTTGAATCAGCTTTATAATTTGAAAATTGGTCTCTTTGCATTGGGTGGTTATTTCATGCTAACAAAAGCCATCAGGGACACAAGGCTGCTTGCCCTTCCTCCATGGCACTGCTCTGGGTTCAAAAGCATTGAACCGAAGGTGGTTATTTTCCATTCCTGGGATTCTTGGATAGTGGTGCCCCCTTCCTGAGTGGGACCTGGAGATACTAAAAGAGCCTCGGGTCTGGGTAGGGAGCCATCCCAGGGGATGAGGGGAGATTGCTGGGAGAAGGGGAGGCTAAGCTGGGCCCTGAAGCACAGCCCCAGTGGGAGGCTAACCCGGAGGGGCCGCACCTGTATCGCCTGTGTGTGACTCCGTGTTTACCATGGCAGTGCCCTTAGTCAGGTCACATGGCTGTAGCAGTGCTCAGAGCTTCCAGGACCAAAATAATGGAGGTTGTTTTTTTGTTCTTTGGCTAGGGAGAGGTTGACATTCCATTTTTCCCCATGGGCTTCTTTGTATGTGCTTTCTCCAGATGGAGTGCTCCAAAGAGGTCCTTGTGCTCTGGGAACATAAAGAAGGTCACCCATGGTGCAGGGTGGCTCAGAAGTCAGCCTGCCAGGACCTGGCTTTTAGAACCACATCTTGGCTCTGCGGAGCCCTGGTCACCTTGCTCTCCATGTCACCACCTCAGGGTGCATAGGACACACCCTTCACGCAGCCTTTCTGAGGCCATGGATGTGTTCTCATGCCAGTGCTTCCTGCCTTCTTCCAAAGCATTGTCTAAACACTCCAGGATGGCTCGGTTTTTGGAACTAGCAAGTAGTAGGAGAGAGGAGGATGAAGACAGTGCTTGGGAATGAATCCAAAGATTGGTTTGAAGACAGTAGTCTGCAAGAAGGTATGAGGTGCTGTGGGCTTGTGAGAAGAGATTTGGGGTCTGGAGGGGCTGACAGTGCTGAAGACATAGGCTGCTTTTATGTATGGGAAGAGAAGTTAGTCTAGGAAATAAAATAGAGTTGATTAAGTGTTGTCCGTGCTGGGCAAGGAGGGAGTCTAGGAAGGAAAAATTATAGATCACAGATTGAATGGACAAAACGAGAGTTCCAGTGCTCCCAGCAAACCCAGTAAGACATGAGATTAAGCCACAGGTTACTGGTCATTCCAACACAGCCCATAGAAACGGGGACACCTTCCACTTTCATTCATCCCAGGGCTGCCCTGAGGGTTACTGGAGAGGCTGTTCACACAGTGGACTCCTTCCTGTGAAGATTATGCCAAACGTAAAGGATGTTCTTAGGTTAGAAATGCAGCAGCCCCTTCAACCTCAAGGCCCATAAACCCAGTAGGAGACGTATGCTTTTCTTGTGGCTGTGGATGTGAGCACACACGTGTGTATGCATGTGGGGCGCATGGGTGAGTTCTGAGGAGGCGGAGTATAGTTTAGCAGTGAACCGTGAGTCCTGTGCGTGCTGCAGAAATCTTTCATTGTCTCACTTTGTGACCTTTAATGAGTCATACACTCCTTTGTTTTCTTATGTGTTAAATGGAGATACGAACACTTGCTGGTTACTGAAGCAGTTCTGATGCTTCGGGTGCCTTTATTAATTCAGATACTGCCTTCTAATTCCTTCCTCTGGGGTATCATAAGAAAAGCGAAGGCCCCAGTCATATTAGGGTCTTCCTAGCTTTATGCTTAGGATCCACACAGTGAGTGCAGGGAGGACAATGGCAAGGTATGTGAGAGAGAGGACTTCTCATAGGAAGTGTTTGGGTTCTCTATGATCCTGACATTCTGGGTAAAACACTTTACCCCCCGGGGGTGCGGCAGCTGCTTGGACCAGCTGGAGCAGAGGAAAGGAAGGGGGTGAATGGAGTAGATGGTGAGACAGGAGCGTGTGTCATGTTGAGAATATAGCCATGAATTGAGTATAGCACAGAGGCAATTTTCCAGGCCCTGGGGAGTGGGCGTGGGGCCCTAATGCTACAGGGACCAGATGGCAATAGTGCAGGAGGCAACTGTCAGGGATCAGGAAGGCAATGGGCCATCCGGTACTAAAGAAGACCTGATGTGCTCATCGTGGTATCACATAGGGCTGGTAAATTCGTGGCATCTGTGATAGCATTCCCTACCGTTTGTACCCGTGGCAGACATCACTAAGCTATCATGACATACTTTCCTCTTGTACGTGGAGAAGTCTCAGAATCCTTTGGGTCCAGCATTTTGTGCAGTCGTGTCAATCAGTTGGTGTAAGAGTAGAAACTTATTTATTGTCTGTCATGGGTGTGATGACAGAAAGGACATAGATTTTGGAATTCAGCAGAAATGACAGCCCAGACAGGTACAATCTTTGTAGCGTTGAACAAGCATATTCGTCAGGTCTTTTTCAGTTGCGAAGGACAGAAACCCAATTCGAGTTAGCCTAAGCTAAGTTACTTAAGTAATATAACCAGAAAGCTCAGGGTCTTGCTACATCAGGAGCCTGGTGAGGATGTTAAAGTCCATCTCTAGAACAGAGTGTCTCTGAGTTCTGTCTGGCTAAGCCAGGTCATTGCTTATCCCCTGGGTGGGGGAGGGGGACAGCGCTGAGGGCAACAGGGCTGGTGGTGGAGGCGATAGGGTCTAGACAGCTGGTCACACTGGGAGCAAAAGTCATCTTGAAGGTCAAACATAGAAGGATCAGTCCAAGATAAGAGTAGGGGGGAGTGGCTGGGAGAGGTGCCAAGTGTTCATCTGAATACTAGTGAGTTGCAGCGAGGAGAGGGAAGGGGCAGTTTGTTCTGGGCCCAGCAGCTTCCCTGGGAGAGCCGTGTGTACACTGAGCAGAGGAGAGGGCCCTTGCGGGGAGCCTTGGAAGCTACATATGTGCAACTGGTGTGGCTGCTCCAGCCACGGTTCTCTGGGCAACTGATTTGGCATCAGATGCCAGGCTCACTGCCCACACTATCACCCCATTCTCTGCTGCTTCTCTTGATCCCATGGCACCCAACCAGGTGACAAGTCTCAAGGCCATGAATCTGTTCTGGGGCATTCAGGTCTGGGCCCAGGCTGAGCTGATCCTGGGTAAACCTTGTAGGATTCTAGGGTGAGGCATCCAGCTAATCAGACGGAGGAATGCCCACCAAGTATGCATAGTGTCTTAGGGTCAGTCTTGAAGGCTTCAGTTGCCTTTATACCAGAGAAATGCAGATGCCTCTACTCTGGATTTCACTGGTTGCTGCACAGGTTTCCTCCCTGTGTCCCTCTACCCTCCCCTTGTCAATCCCTGCCATACACAGCTCCCTTTCCTGGATATCAAATGTTATGTAATGAATCACCCCAAAACAAAGTGGTTTATAGTAGCAAGCACCTGGCTGCCTCCCACAGTTTCTAGGGGTCAGGAATTGCTTGGGCTCTCCCATGAGGGTGCAGTCAGATGGTGGATGGAGCTGCTGGGGACTGTCTTGCAGTCTCTCCCTGCTTGTGGGCTTTCCGTGTTGGCTAGTATGGGCTTCCTCACCCCATGGCAGCCTCAGGGCGTGCACATACTGTCATTTCTTATGTACTTTTTGGCCAAGATGGTCACCAAAGACCAACCCCATTTCAGGAGGAAGGGACATAGATCCTCTTTCTTAATGGGAGGGATGTCAAAGGATTTGCTGACATAACGTAAAACCATCACAGCCCCCGACCCCCTCCTATCCAGTCAACACTCATTGCCCAGATGGGTTTGAGGTACCTGGATGTGATCTAACTTGGGTCCAATGCCTTCCTTTCATTATACTATTTTTGGTTTTTGGAACTTGGGTACAGAGACTTGAGTGAATTACACTCTTCAATTCATTGTGCATTTGTCATCATTGATTCGTGCAATGATTCTCTCTCCATTCATTTATTCATTCATTCATTCACTCTTCCCTTTTATCCCCATATCCTACATTCCTTTTTCCCTCTTCACTTTCTTTAAACAACCATTCTGTTATATTTTATGCACCTCCTTTATGTGTATGTGTTCTTACAAATGTAAGTGACGTATATCATGTTGCATATGTACGGTTTTCTGTGCCCTCCTTTTCTCACTTGCTCCGTGTTTCCAGGTCCATACATGTGCCATGTGTATATGCCGTAATGCATACATCTCATGTCTGATTGCTTACGATGAGTCGGTGAGATTGGAGAGGAGGAGCGACACATCCAGGGTCACACAGCCGAACTGGGACAAGAACAGTTTCCCTGACTCTTTTTGCTCAGCGGCACACATCCATGTTTTCATGCACCACCGCCCAAGCTCTTGCTGCAATAGTTTTGAAATAAGATTTAAAAAAAATTGCGAGTCTGTGTTCCTTTTCCGAGCTCTCCTGCTTTCTCCCTAGTAACTGCTGTCCTCTGTCCTCTCCTCCTGCAGGTTCCAACTATGGGAGCCCGCGCCCTGCTCATGCCAACATGAATGCCAATGCTGCTGCAGGGCTCGCCCCTGAGCACATCCCTACACCGGGGGCGGCCTTGTCCTGGCAGGCGGCCATCGACGCGGCCCGGCAGGCCAAGCTGATGGGGAGCGCCGGCAACGCGACCATCTCCACGGTCAGCTCCACACAGCGGAAGCGGCAGCAGTACGGGAAACCCAAGAAGCAGGGCAGCACGACGGCCACGCGCCCGCCCCGTGCCCTGCTCTGCCTGACTCTGAAGAACCCCATCCGGAGGGCGTGCATCAGCATCGTTGAATGGAAATATCCTTTGCGCTCTGGCTTGGGCAGTGTCCCCCCCGGGACCCTGGGTGGGGCTGGCCCCAGGCTCGCTCCCAGACTGTCTTCATCACTGGGGCGCTATGTAAATGCAGAGTTTTAGGCGCTACCCGAGACTCAATGACTCAGAATGTCTGGGGATAGGGCCCAGGAATCTGCTGGAGTAACAAGCAGAGTCTTTTTTTTTCATATATCTTTTTCATACCATGAGCAGCATTTGAGAAAGTGATCCTGAGAGGTCGTATCATCTCACCTAGCCGAGCCTGTCCAGGGATCTGCTGGTGTGTTGGGTGAATAGTGGTTACATACCCCATAGCCTTCTTTGGCTCCTGTGTCATGGCACTGGCGTAGTTTCATGACCTCCACTCTCTCTAGGAGGAGGAAGCCCGAGAAGTGCGAGAGGGTCGTGGTCAGTGACCCACCCTGGCTCGTGGTTCTCAAACTTGGCTGCACATTGGCATCGCCTGGAAAGTTGTAACAAAATACAGGTGCCTGAGCCCCATGCAGGCATATGTCAAAGTTCTCCAGGTGATTCTCATGTGCAGCCGAAGTGGAGAACACTGGCCGGGAGTTTTAAACACAGACCCACATTGTATGCATAGAACCCAGTGAGTGGGCCCTTCAGAGAAAATGGCTTTGGAGGGCCAGGCTCTCACTGTGGAATTACAGGCCCCTTAACGTCATTGGAATTGTGGGGTGGTGGAGATCGAAAGGAGCTTCAAGATGAGTAGGTCCACCCCTGACTTTGCCCAGTGATGACATTGAGCCCCACGTGGTCATACATTAGTGACAGACAGGTGAACTCTGGTACTTAGTGTTGGGCATCTTCATAATAAGAATTCATTCAGGCAGTGCTACCACATCTCCTACCATGTCTCCTGGGGCTCAGGTTAGGAGGGTTCCATGTCATTCATGAGTTTCCATGGAAAGATTGAGAAGCCTTAGTAGGTAGTGGTTGAAAGGCAAAAGAAGATGGCTTGGGAGGGAAGAGCTTCTGTTTAGCAAGACATGTCAGTTCTATAAATGTTTGAGCCCCTCAACTCAAAAAGTAACTTTAAGAGAAAGCAGCGTAAGCCGAGTGGCGGCTGGAGAGCTGGCCATCTGTCCTGAGTGGCCAAGCGTGCTTCCCGTCCCAGAGGACCGGGTGAGAGGCTCGGCTCTGGGCAGCCCCAGCATGCTGCTGTCATAAGAGCTCCATCAGAACCATGCAGTGGGAGAGCTGGGGGCCATGTGGGTCAGACGCCCCCAAAGGGGAGGGCACTAAGGCCTGGAGAAGCTGAAGATCTTACCCAAATCACACAGCCTGCAACTGATAGAGCTGGGTTTCAAATCCAGGTTCCCCAAGTCCCAGTCCATGTGCGTCCCACTCCCTGTGCACCCGTAGTGTAGAGGAGACATACTAGGGTAGGCTTTCAGGGGACACCGGCCAGCCCACTGGGACACGGAGGGACCTAGATCTGGGGCCTGAACTACCACGCCCCATCATGGCGCGGCCACCTGTGTTCTGAGTGGTCACAAGTCATCGGAATCACCAGAGCTTCCGTTTCCTCATCTTTAGTGGGCAGTAACCAAAGTATCAGCGAGGGCTGTGGAGTCTATGCCTGTGGAAGCATGCTCAGAAAAACACGTCAGGGGACGTATTCCGTGAGGATGAGTTGACTTCATCAAGTCTGTCTTCCCCTCCCGGGACGGACAGCTCCCTGACAGGCAGCACTGCAGGCAGAATGAAGTGCCAGGTGACGTACTAGCCTGGGAGGAAGGGAAGAGGGCAGATAGCAGCACACAGGGCAGGAGGGGGAGTGTGGAAGAGCAGGGCTTTGTAATGGCGGTGTCTGGTATGCTGTCCATGGAAACTGGTCACAGAGCCACAGGAGGCCCGAGGCAGGGACTCATGAAAAGACTGTTGACCGAGTCAGCAGCAGTGTTAGCTAGGCTGTGACCCAGTGCCACCTGTGGAGCTCAGCCGCTTCCCTGGTTGGGCAGAGGGGTGCTGCAGCCAGCCCACCTGGCGGAATGGGTCCTCCCCCGCCGCGGGGAAGGAAGCGGGCCCAGCCTCCGCACTGCTAGTCAGATGGCATTCCCAGACTGCCTTGGAAGGGTAGTTGGACAGATCAGGAGATGGTCTGGTGTACTCGCTCGTCAGTGTTCCTTGAAAGAGTGGAATCTGATGCTGTCATTAAGAAGGAAAAACAGTTTAAAAAATGATCTGGCTGTCACAGGGTGACACACTACGTTTCCAGGTCTTACCTGGCATCTCCTCCACCTTGCACTTGTGGCTTTTCTTATCTGCCTGATTGGTTTCTTTACACATTATCGTCTCCGCAGTAGCCAGGGACTTTTAGCATAAGATGATGGATGGATAGCCTGGATTGGGGGAGGATGTAGAAGTGATAGTGTAAGAAACACCCCAAGCTTAGCCGCCACCCACTTTGGTGGAAGGAATGAGTTGATGTTTGAGGATAGGTACCTGAGGTCTGACTCGGTTGAACTGAGGTGCTGTAGCCCTGGTAGGGGGGGCGGGGCACAAGGGATCAGATGACGGGAATGAAACCAACCAGCCCCTGGGCCGAATGGGACTTTCCTAAGCAGGTGGGAAAGGGCTAGGAGGGAAGGGGTTTCATGGTAGGAGGTCTAAAGTATGAATTTTCTAAAAATGCTTTAGGGTAACTTCAGGATAGGTCAGCATAGAAATCAGCATAGAGTAAGTAGTCCTTACAAATTCCGACTTTGGAACCGGACTTTCTGAGTTTGAATCCCATCCTACCACAAGCTGTGTGACGTTGGGCAAGTTAACATTTCACCTCTCTGCTTCCTCAGTTAGAAATGGGGATGATAACTGCATACTCATTCGGGTGTTTGTGTGGAGCATTTAGAGCAGAGCCTGGCACAGAGTAAGCGCATGGTGTCAGCCACTGTCCTCCCTGCTGCTGTCCCTGTCATCAACACCACCAGTGTCATCCCTGCTTCCTTGGCCAACTCGGGGCAGCACAGCATATCAGAGCAGATGAGTCAGTAGGTCCGGTTCTGGGCCTGGCCCTGCTCCTTGTCAGCTTGGAACCTGGGAGAGGTGGTTTTGTTTTCTGTATCTGCATGAAGTGTGTTGGTAAATGGACCCTTGTCTATGCCTGTGGGACCGAGGGGGATCCATGACCAGCACACCAGCTAAAGCCATGACTAAGATGCCTTCCAGGTCATTAACACAGGTCAGAGGCCATTCACGGCAGGGGGATGAACACTGGACTCTGTGCTCAGGGAATCTGGGTTCTCGTCTTGATGGGAAGTACCTGCTGTGGGGTCTTGGGAAAGTTTCTCAGGCTCTCTGGGCCTCAGAGGTTTGGACGAGATGATCTCTAAGGTCTCTCTTCTGCTTCAATTCATTAACTTGGTGAGGAGGTTTCCCTGGGAGAGGAAGTTGGTCCCTTCTTCCAGGGTTTTCCATCCTCTTTCCCTTCCTCATCTTGTCAGGCTCCACGGACGAGGCTGACAAGTTGGCAGTATTGGGGAACCAGGGGAAGCTGGGGCCCAAAGAGCATAAACTGGCCTTCCTCTGAAGCTTCTCCTTTCTGGCCTTTAGTTGTAGGTGCAGAGTAGAAGGACCCTTATCATATCAACTCATATAACATTTTCTCTGGAGAATGTGTTTTGCCTGATATTTTGGTAAAGAAATCTGGGCACAAGAGCCTCACTGAGTGCACTGCTGCTGGTGAGTGAAGCTGGCTTATCCCTCTAGATCCTAGCACACACCAACGCAAGTCAGGAGGTCCTAGAACGTAAACCTTGCCCACCGAAGGCAGGGCCTCCGCAGACTGAAGAGGGTTAAGGTATTCCACATGGAGCTGTGCCTTGGAGGGAAGATGGTTGCCCTGCCCTGAAGGCACAGTACACGGGCTGCCATGCTCTTGAGGGTCCAGAGCCTCCAGCCATCGTCAGGTTCTGTGGAAGGTGTCAGGAAATAAAGTAGAAGAAAAAAACAATAACCACTCTAAACTTCAGATTAAAAGATCAAAAGTAAATCTCCAAATTTCAATGAAAAATCTTGACGTCAAGTCTGCCTTAAATCTGTCTCACCTCTCCTGCCCCCAGCTCAAGTCCCCCGGGGGGCAGCGTGGAAACCACGAGAGGAGGAGTGTCTGGGGGCCGGTCTGTTCCGACTGGAGCAGGCCCTGCTCTGTAGAGGCAACCCCAAGCACACAGGGGGGAAAATGAAGTCCAATGCAATCTAAATAAATAAAAGAAGAAGAAAAAAAGTTTTTAGAAATCTGTGTTTACTCTGGCACGCGACTGGCCTCCACTGCTTTTGACATATTAGGAAAAAATTTGGCGGGGACCCATTAGAAGCACTTAAAAAGGCATATGTTTCTTTTCAGAATACAAGGGGCTTGGAATGTATTGTTTAAACAAAATTCTTATGAATCTTTGATTCATTTAAAAAAATATATATGTATGTTTGTTTCACTTGTGCTTTCTGTGGCATTGACTTCCTTAACTCCCTTCCTCAGACCATTTGAAATAATTATTTTACTGACTATTTTTGCCAATTGTGTGGCCTTAGCGATCTATATTCCCTTTCCAGAAGATGACTCCAATGCCACCAATTCCAACCTGGTAAGTGCACCATCCCGTCTCTGTCTGCTTCTCCCCCTCGGGGGAGAACCGAGCTTGGATCACATGGATTCAAGGTGGAATGTGGGGAGAAGTGAGATGTGCATTTGACACGAGCAGAGGTGCTGCCGAGCTCAGATCTCAAGTGCTATTGCTCTTTATTCAAATCAGCACCTGTCTTATCACAGCCTGTTTTCAGAAAGAATATTACAGTTAGGTGGTGGTGATCTGTGTGTGTGTGTGTGTGTGTGTGTGTGTGTGTGTGTATTTTGAGGGCTATAAAATGTGCTGCTTAAGTTGCAAGTGCAGGTGTTTGCAGGAGCAAGCTTTTATTCTTGGATGATTTTTGTATTTATTTTAAGTGACTGTGTCCCATTGGTAAGGTTTGCTCAGGTGATCTGTAGTATCACTGCACGAGAAACAATTTCTAGGAAGCTTTTAGGAAAGTTTCCTTTTGCAGCCAAGATGCATTATTTAGTTGAAAAGGTTTTCTTTTCTTGGGAAAGGCGGCTTTCCATCTGGATTGTTGGGAAGCCAGTGCTGGCAATTCGGGGTTAGAATTTGTCCACGGAAAAAGCGCGGAGCATGTTTACTTTTGGCCGAGCGTGAAGTCATTACAGAGGCCGTTGCTCTGTCTGGGCATGGGAGGAAAAGAGCTCTGGAATGCAGTTGGCAAAATCAGGGCAGTCCCGGGTGCCTCTGCCACAGGCCATAGGAAAATCCTGTCTCTCTCCCCCTCCCCCGCAGAGACACCATAACTTTTCATGTGATTCCCACCAACGCCTCTTTCCCCGTCATCAGCACCTTTCTCTAATTAGCGGACTGTCTGATGAGATCGTTCCTCAAAGAAGCAGGAAGGTTACCAAATTCTCCTTTCCCTTATTGCTGGCTGCTGATGGCATCACTGCTGTATTCTTTTGCTTTTTAACCTTTGACATTTTCTTTAGCCCCCTCAGCAACTGAATCTGAGGCGCATTTTAAACTTCTCCGCCGTGTTCCCCAGTTGGGACAGTTAGGCCCAGCTCCATATTGGGTAAGGTGGTGTGGTGCGAGCCAGGCTGCAGCGTCTTAGGGCTCGGCTTGGGCTGCGCGTTGGGGACAGTTTCCAGAGCTGGCCCGGGAGCTCTGAGGGAGGACATGGCCAGAGTCGGCAGGCAGAGCACTCCCTGCAGTCCGCGAGGCCTTCTGAGGCGTGACCTTGTCTCTTAATAGGCAAGAAATCTTTACCGTGTCAGAATAAACACAAGCCAAAGTATCTCCCAAATGGCCCTTGGAAAAGCAGGAGCATCTTCCGTGGGCTGTCCTTCTCGGTGTATCCACCTCCCTCTCCCAGCATGGGCCTCTTGAAACCCAGGCAGCTTCACACTTCATCTGTAACTTAAAAAAAAAAAAAGGATCTGTGTCTTATTCTGAAGACAGGGAGGCTTTGGTGGGATCTAGGCAAAAGCAGTGGGGAAGGTGGGTAGAGAGTTTGCGTTTAGTCTCTGCCCCAGCCCCTCTGGGCTGAGCTCCCTGGGGGATTAGCAGCAGCACGGGGAGGGGGTGGGGGGTGCTGCACAGAGAGAGGAGCCTGGGCTGGCTGCTGTCTGGGTCTGTGAAGCCCGTACTCGGTGGCGGTGGCCTGGCTGGTGGGACCATGAGGGGTTGTGTTGGACTTACTCCGGAACTAGAGTGGAGGTTGCTGGGTGCAGAGACTGCTAGAGGGACTGGATTTTTAAAATCCCACTGCAGAGTGATGGAGGTGTTCTGAAGCTGGATGCACAGCTGTATAACTGTACTAAAAGTCACTGAGTCGTATACTTAACAATGGGTGACTTTTATGGTATGTAAATTATACCTCCATAAAGCTGTATTTTTAAAAAAGAATAACACCAGCATGCAAGCCCCGGCCTCACAAGACCTCCCAGTGTGAGTTGCATGTTGCTATTTTCTTTCTTGCAAATGAGGGGGGAGGTTACATAGGTGGAGGGAAAGAGGGGATGGGGACAGCCAGCGAACTTTGTTGTGACATTACAGTAGGAATTTGGGGGGTGCGGAACAGAGTGTGCGAGGTTGAAAAGGGGTTTCTAGTTGCTAGAGCAGTTCTGACTTCTTTCAAGCCACAGCTTGGCCTAAGTGAAGGAAGCGTGTTCATGTTTCCTTTATCCCCAGTCCAAACACACACAGACACTCACCCAGACACACATGTAGACACAGACACACAAACACAGATGCAGATACTCACATAGAAATATACACAAATGCACACGGAGACATGGACACACACAGATACACAGACACACAGACACACAGAGACATGGACACACACAGACACACAGAGACATGGACACACACAGACACGCAGACACACACAGACACACAGACACACAGAGACATGGACACACACAGACACACAGACACACGTATGTGCACACATAGACATACATACATGGATATACACATGGACACACACAAAGACATAGGCACACTCTTCCCTAATTCTGCTCTATCCCTGAACTTCCTTTAATATATATATAATTTTTAAATTTTAAGTTTGAAATGTTTTTTCAGGAAGAGTCTGCATTTGCCACTTCCGCCAGTTTGTTTTTGCTCTCTCTTCAGCTCCGTGCTGTCTGTGTTCTGTCCCCATCTCTAGAAAGTAAAAGATATGGATCTCAGTTGGCAAACTCAGGAGGGAAGAAATGCAGCTTGTTTTTGCTTTCCTATCACTGAACATCCAGGGCTCTCAGCCCCTTCCCTGGAGTTGTAGCTAAGGACCACTGCATTATGGAGCCAAGGGGACATCCTGCTCTTGGTGTGGTTAATCCACACTGTTGAAGTGGCCTTGTCCCTCCTGGAAGGGCCTTGGTCTTTGATCCACGCAGGCAGCGTGGTCTCTTGTTCCCAGCATGGGGTCTCTTGATCTGCAGCTCTGGACCTCTCCTGGCCATGCTGGGGCTGTGGGAATGGGGACATGGTGAAGATTACACGGGCCCCCTTTCAAGGACATACCCCAGGGTCTCACTCATTTTTGTTTCCTGGCTGATGCTCCCAGGTCCACCATCTTGGGATCTTTGTTTGGGGCAAGGTGGCCCTCCTGTGGTCGTCCAGACTGTCCTCAGTGCCCTGGCTTACATTCCTTGAACTCTGAAGCCATGGTGTGACTCCTGTTCTCTGCCTTCCACTGTGTCATACCTTCCCTGGGACAATGAAGGCCACTGACCTAATGGGAGGGGGCACGGTGGCCAAGGGGTATTAGAAAACCCCTGAAACAACCAACCAAACCAAACCCACATTGGCTTATAGGCCAGGCTATGATTCTGCTCCCTGGATGTAACCAGTATGAGTGTTGTGATTCAGGCCCTCTTCTCCCTGCAGCATCTTACACTGTTAGATGCCCCTCTGCAGAACTCTTTTGCCCCTTGGCTTTGGGACAGAGTTATTATTAAGTCCCCTCCTATCTCTTACCATTTTTTTCCTGCTTCTTCTAGTTTATTCTTGCTTCTATGGGAACTTTGACCAGGTTGCTGTCCTGGGCCTCTTATTTTCTCTTTTTGTGGTCTCCCCTTGGTGAGCTCAGCTACTTCCACAATTTCATGTACCCTTTCTAGGTAAGTTGTTCCTAGACTTATGTGCCCAGCTCTGAGCTCTTTTCCTAAGGCCTGGACTATTATTTCCTACATTAGAGAGGCCTGTGGACCAGTGCAGTGACTCCTGAGACCAGCTTGATTGTTACAACCACTTGGATAGCTTCAGTGGAAAGATGCCAATGCGTTGGTAGATCTGATTCAGATTTAGTAGTTTTGGGGCATGGCCTGGGAATATGCATTTGAAAAATTCCTCATGGGCTGGAGTTGGGGGGCTAAGAATCAGTCAGGTTTGGGAACTACTGGCTTTTTGGATAGAGCCAGATTTTGAGTTGGGCTGATGTGGGTTCATGCCTTGGCCTTACCACTTTGTATCTTAATCTGGATTGTCCTGTGGAGTTGTTTCATCTTCCTGAAGCTCCGATCTCTGGCCTGGCGGATGGAAGTCACACTCCCTCCCGGGGTTCTGGGGCAGAGCAGGGCTGGCTATGATCAGGAAGCACCCAGTGTGGTCCTGGCCCACAGTGATATGTGCCAGGATGTCTTGCAGACACCTCAAACAGACAAGCCCACATAGGACTCAACTTCTCCCTCCTCACACAACCGGTCTCCAAAAAATAAAGCAAAAGAAACCATGCAGGAACATTGCTTCTGACCTTTGCCTTTAGCCTGGTTGCTGGCTCTGCCGACCTTGATGTTGTACAGAGTCATCTTGAACACCTTCTTCCCTTCATCGTGCTCATCCAAGCAGATTCAGTTACGGCCTCTCTGTTGGCGGTCTATCACATTTAGCTTCCTTTCTATTTCCAAAGTCATTTGTGTAAGCGTTCTGTGCCTTTGCTTCTTTGTCTATAAAATGGGAATATCTACCTTGTAGGTTGCTGTGAGGATTAATGAGACAAGATGTTGAAGGCTCTTCGAAGAGTGCCATGGGGAGGGACATATCTATAGTCTCACCGAGGCCCTGAGATAGTAGACATGTAACCACTGTTTGTTGAGTGTCAGTGTCATGCCACAACATGGTCCCCCGATCACTTAGTTACCCCTAAATAAAAGCTCGAGAATTCTCCCATTACTTTCATGGCACGGTTCCATCTTTTAAAAAGGAAGTGCTGTTTCCGAGGCCTGCTCTCACAAACAGCAGAGGAAGGACAATGTCGACAGCACTGGTTGTCAGACCTCGGTGGGTAAGAATCATATGGAGAGCTGGTTAGAATGCAGACTCCCAGGCCCTGCCCCTGGAGCCCCTGATTCCATGTCTGGAGGGGGCCCCTGGAGTCTCATTGTCAGCGGGCTCTCCTGGTGACGGATGCAGGGGACCGGGGCCTGCTCTCTGAGGATGGTGACTCTGAGCTCGTCACTGTAGAGTGGACCTTCCTTCAGCTCACCCTCCCCAGTCTGCCACTGCCTACCCACAGCTCTCTCTGGGCCCCGCCG